ACAGTGGTTGGATTTGACAATTACCAAACACTTAAATCGTTGATCTTATACAGGGATGCAAACTTGTCACCTTTTGTAGAATACAATTATTATTATTATTTCTACAACAATAATATTGCTACTACAGTAATATTTCTTTATTGGTATATTTAATTTTTGTAATTTAATCAAATTAAAAAAGGTTATTATTGTTATTTATCCTGGATCACGCTATGGGGTTTGCGTAGGTCCATACAAAACTAATACATTTCAAGATTTGTAAAACTCATTAACCTCATAGCATTATTTTTGCCATGCTTATTGCAGTGTAAATGCATTCATGCCACCTCTGAAGTGCAGCTTCTGAAAACATGTTTTGTTCTCATTGTAGCCTTATAGGTTTATGTACAATAAATTCAATGTTAAATCAACATATTTCTTTCTTTTTAGTAATGTCAGTTCAATCATTTTCTCAATATTAACACAATGACTTTAAATTCGCTTTTTGGGGGGGGGGTGTCTTAAATTGTGCCCAAATTGATGTAGTTTGTGATTCATTGCATCAATTAATTGATACATTGTGTAATTAATTATATTAAAACTCTTCTCAGCCCTAGTATAAATGTAGCTAATTATATCATTTACATTTTTAAAAGCATGTTTACAAACCTTAAATTGGGGAAGGCAATGCAAAAAAATGTGTATTTTAATGACCCAAAAAAATTCAGCCTCTTTAACTATTGGTTAGTAAATGGACATTATTAAACATTGTAGTCATTTTTCAGTGATTGGGCCTGCTGTTGTTGTTGGATTGCACTTGTGATGAGTTTCTGGCAGTTCCAGTGTGTGACTGCACTGTGTGAATGTAACACATCTGTGTGATCTCATCCATCAGGTGGCTTCATCAGTTTCAACGGCTCTTGGCGTGTGCAGGGCATCCTGGCCATGTCACGCTCACTCGGTGACTACCCTCTCAAGAACTTGAACGTGGTCATCCCAGACCCAGATATCTTGACCTTTGACCTGGACAAGCTCCAGCCAGAGTTCATGATCCTAGCCTCCGACGGTCTGTGGGATGCGTTCAGCAATGAGGAGGCTGTGCGCTTTGTGCGGGAACGCTTGGATGAGCCGCACTTCGGCGCCAAGAGCATTGTGCTGCAGTCTTTCTACCGCGGCTGTCCCGACAACATCACTGTCATGGTGGTGAAGTTCAAGAGCAGCTCTGGGAGCAAAACTGGAGAGTAGTTGGACTCAACCGATAAGCAGCCTCCAATGTCTTTCCATTGATACATATTGCCAGAGGCTAGACGGTGTAATTTTTTTTTCTCACAATTACAATAAACTGTACAGAAACGCATATGCATGTGCAAACACGTGCATTCCCAGATTTTTTTTTTTTTTTTTTTTTTTTTTTTTTTTTTTGGTGTGTGCCAAATGGACACTTTATAGAAAATGTATTCTGTAATTACTCCTTTTTCAATTCATTACTCTGTAAAGATGATGTATCCTGGCCTTCCTTAATCAGAGCAATATTATTTGTGAAACAGCAATTGGCATAAACGGTAGAAGGACATTTATTGCCATGAAGATGCACTAGTAGTGTTTTGTTCAGGAGACATGCATAAATATCATAACTTTGTGTTTGTTTCTTTTTCTTGTTTTTGTGAATTAAGGAGCTGATGAAACCATATCCAGCTCTTGAATTTGGATGTGCATGATCCATTCATATCAGTTCAGGGCATTAATGCCAATTTACACTGGTGCTGCTCATCAGTTAGTTTAAATGAGGGTGGAATAATGTTGTGTTAGATTAAGAATGTTGCACTTTGATTACATTTCATAATAGGTCCATGTCACTGTTTTAATGGTTATATGAATACAGAAGTGACCAGATTAAAGACTGTTGAAGTAATACTGGCAAACTGTCCTCCAACCTTCCTCCTAGTTTACTGAAAAAAATTGGCACCAGCCCCAATCTACACAAAGGTTTAATTTCTTGCACTTTGTGAAATGTATGTGGGAGAATGAAGCGATAAATAAACCTAACAAATCAAAGCTGATTTTGCTCGTCTTTGCTCTCTCTCTGATAAAAGTTTCATATACTCAGTATGATTTTTTTTAAAGAAATTAATATTTGGCAAGAACACATTAAATTGATCAAACGTGACGGCAAGTTCAAATCATCATAGAATGATTTCTGAAGCATCATGTGACTGAAGGCTGGAGTAATAATGCTGAACATTCAGCTTTACATCAGAAATCATTTATATTAAAAAAATAAAAACATTAAAAAAAAGAAGTTATTTGTATGATAATATTTCACAATATTACTGTATTTTTGATCAAACAAATGCAGCCGTGGTAAGAGATTTATTTCAAAAACATTTAAAACATCCTTCCAAATCTATAATACTATAAGGTACATATATTGACTATATATAATTGTCATTTGAGGGGAAAATGCTCAATTACTTTAAATATTATCTGTTGTATTTATCCTATATATCCATTGAAATAAATGCAAAGTATTTTAAATGCGGGTTCATAGGTACATTTGAAAACATATATTAGTATCTGTATAATTTTATTATATCAATATCAGTATATGGTATCCTAGATGGTAACAAAAATACACCTGTTGCAGATCAAATGAAACCGCAATTTTTCCACTAGACACAAAGCTGGTCAGGCCTGAGGAGCCTAAGCTGGTTTGTTGGTTTTATTTCATGTGTGAGCAGCACACAGATTGTAAGGCAAATAATAAGCAAATAGAATAAGCATATGACGCATTGCTGTTTGCATTCTTCCAGACTGACTGACAGGTCCAGCCGCAGTAACCTTACACTGCAGCGCCGTGTCCGTGTAACACACCGAGCTCAGCAGTCCATCGTGACAACCGGGGCCAGGTGTAAGGCCCCAGAATAGCACCAGCATTGTTGAGTCCAGTAGACTATTAAAGCCCCTATCGTGCCTGTTCCCACTGAGTAAGCTTTCTATAAACCTGCCCTTACACACTCTTCCTGGATCTGACGCCCAGTAGTTCAGTGGTCGTAACGTATAAATGTACGTTTGCGCTCAGTGTTGGCACAGAGTTTACAAGACACCCAGCGGCCTACATTTCAAGGATTTTCACACACTAAAATGGGTCAGTGTAGTTCAAGGACATCCGAGCAGTTTCACGAGTTCAGGTCTCTTACAACTATAAAGTTGTGTGAACAACGCACTCCCGGCGTTTCGCAAGGGAAATGGCGACCGGACGCCTCTCATCAGAATGAAGCGGCAGCGGAGAGACGGCGCCACGGCTGCGGGACTCACGACGACTGCTCTGGACTGGTTTTTGTGGCTGATCCAACTGGTGGGGTGTGGATAGACGAAACCCTCGGAAGACAAAGGTGAACCTGTGGATGTGAAGTTAGTTGGGGTCGTTGTTGTTCTTGTTTTTTACGCTGAAATCCATCTTGAGGTTTCTAAAGGTGACGACAATGTCAACAATCCAGTGCTGGAAGTATCTGGAAGGATTGAGATGGGATTCTTGGATGTCTGAGGGGCACATTCAACTTTTTTGTTTGGTTTCCATTAACTGAAATGGAAACGGATTTATTTGAAGAGTTTTTCCGAGACATTTATTGTCGTTTATGATGCCATACTGCCTGGTCATGGTCACACGTGTCATGTGGTCAGTTGATACATGTAATGGGAAACCTATGATTCATTTCTTTAAACTCACATGTCTCAGGGCAACCGTCTTAACTGAGAACTTATATTTAATATCTATATTTATTTATTTAACAAGGGTTAAATTTTCAAGTTCCTACTTCATGTATGTCAAATGACATACTCTTTAGTTTCTTTAGGATCTTCAGCCATTTGTGACATGAGAATCCAGAGATTTTAATTTAGTTTGACCATGGAATATTTAGTTTAAATGTGTACATTAAGACAGGAGATATAAATTAAGCAGAACTCCGTTCCAGGCATTCTTAGCATATCATTTGGGAGGTGTCCTGAGATACTTTGACCCATTAATCATACAGCACTATGTAGATAAGCTAGATATAATACATCACTGAGTAACGCAGACACCATCTTAAGTAAACTCACATTTGTTGAGCGATCACAGTGAGAAGCTTTGGTCTTTGTGAACATCTGACATATACAATGGGCCATTCAGGATCCAGACACAAACCTGAAGCCCGCATCCTCCTCTTAGGGCTCGACGGAGCTGGAAAATCAACACTTCTTTACAAACTGAAGTACAATGAGGACTTCCACACGGTTCCTACTATTGGATTCAATGTAGAAATGATCGAAGCGAAGAAGAACAAGGACAAAATCACCCTGACCGTGTGGGACGTTGGAGGGCAGGTTAAGATGCGAGCGTACTGGAGGAATTTTTACCAGGACACCGCTGGAATTGTGTTCGTCGTGGACTCTTCTGATATTAAGCATCTGGACATGGCCAAGAGCGTACTGGAACAGACCTTAAAGAGTGACCTCCTCAGGGGACTCCCGGTGGTGGTTCTTGCCAACAAGCAAGATATTGTAGGAGCTGCAGCGGTAACTGAGATCACAGAGCAGTTTAACCTGATAAAGAGTTGCAGTGATCGAGACTGGTTCATTCAGCCGTGTTCGGCGCTGACTGGAGCGGGTCTGGTGGACGGCTTCAGACGAATGGCACACCTGGTGAAAATGACACCTGAGGACAATAACATCAAAGAGACTGTGAAGTATATAAGATCAAAATCGGGTATGTCAATGAAGAAATAGTCCACATGGTAACTTATTAACCACTTTTTATGGAAGGTTATGTACACAATGCTACTAAATTTGGATAGTTCATAACATGTGAACTGAATGAAAAAGCAGGCTACTGAAAGATACCGAACGTTATACTTGGGTTATAAATGAATTATTCTTAAATTCATTAATATAGTAACCAAGACTGTTTAGAAAGATACAAATCTTAAATGTCTGTAATGAAATAAATGCCCATACAAACAGCAAAACTTGCTAACCACACGTACAAAAAAAAATTATGTAAACATTAGCTCATACTAGTTGCTCAGAAACATGTGAACTGAATGGGAAGTTGAGTTATAAGGAACCATAAAAGGGTCTAAATATTACCTTGAATTAATTAAATGTATTTAACATGCTGTAAAGTATGTAAAGAACTTATACATTTTTATTTAATGTACAATTTTTACTTCCATTTGTTGTAGAACACATACTTGATAACCAGACTTTTAAAAGGTTATGTAAATATCATGTAAAGGTAAAAGGTACCAAATGTTGCTTTAAATTATATTTCATGAACATGTGACCCTGGACCACAAAAAGTCAATTTTTCAAAATTGAGATTTAGACATATCTGAAAGCTGAATAAATATTCCATTGATGCTTGGTTTGTTAGGATAGGACTATTTGACGGAGATGTGATTTCAAAATCTGGAATCTGAGGGTACCAAATAAAAAAAAGTTGTCCAAATAAGGTCCTTCGCAATGCAGATTACTAAACAAAACAGAAGTTCTGATAGTTACTGTAGGACATCTACAAAATTGCTTCATGGAACATGACCTTTACTTAATATCCTAATGATTTTTGGCATAAAAGAAAATCTATCATTTTGACTTATGTTTTTGGCTATTGCTAGAAATATACCCGAGCAACTTAAGATTTGTGGTCCAGGGTCACATTAATACATGTTGGGAAATCTATATCATGAACGTGCAATTTATTTCTTTAAATCAAACGCAAAGTTCAACAATTGAGATGTATGAATTTTAATGCATGAACATACTATTTCGGTGACCACAGCATCTGCAGTAATGGCAAGGACCAAGATCAGATGTTCTAAAACTTTAGAAAAGGTCA